TCCCCTCCTCCCCGTCGGCTTCGTCCTCCCCTCCTCCCCGTCGGCTTCGTCCTCCCCTCCTCCCCGTCGGCTTCGTCCTCCCCTCCTCCCCGTCGTCCTCCTCCTCCTCTCCTTCTCTGCCGCCACGTCTACTCCCCCTCCTCCTCTCCTTCTCGGCCGCCACGTCTACTCCCCCTCCTCCTCTCCTTCTCTGCCGCCACGTCTACTCCCCCTCCTCCTCCTCCTCCTCCTTTTTTTTTTTTTTCTTTGTTCCTAGAAAATTTTGACCATATTCTCGATGTATGCGTGCCATTCTTGCGTAGGGGTCATATATCTTTCCAATCTTTATCATATATGTGTGTCGTCCTTGCGCAGAGGCCATGCTAATCTTCTTTCTCTGTATCGTTCCGATTTTAACGAAATGCTGTCCTTATTTTTTTTATTTTTTTTTTACGGCAAAGATCTGCTCTACCCCCCATATGGCAAAGATCTGCAAAATGCTGTCCTTTTTTTTACGGCAAAGATTATTGAAAGATCTGCAAAGATCTGCTCTACCCCCCCCCCCCTTTTCTTTTTTGACGGCAAAGATTTGTTGTACCCCCCATACGTACGTATTCAAAAGGCTCAACCCCATGGTGGGTAGCGAAATGCTGTCCTTTTCTTTTTTTTTTTTTTTTGACGGCAAAGATGTACTCTAGCCCCCATACGTACGTATTCAGAATGCTCAACCCCATTGGGGGTGGCGAAATGCTGCCCATTTTTTTTATTTTTTTTTGCGGCAAAGTTCTACTCTAACCCCCATACGTACGTATTCACAATGCTCAACCCCAGGGGGGGTGGCTAATTGCTGTCCGTTTTTTTTTTTTTTTTACAGCAAAGATCTACTCTGCCCCCCATACGTACGTATTCAGAATGCTCAACCCCATTGGGGGTGGCGAAATGCTGTCCAATTTTTTTTATTTATTTTTTTAACGCCCAACGTACGTTTTCAGAACGCTCAACCCCATGGGGGGTGGCGAAATGCTGTCCAATTTTTTTTGTTTTGTTTTTTACGGCAAAGATCTACTTTACCCCCCCCCCCATACGTACGTATTCAGAATGCTCAACCCCATGGGGGGTGGCGAAATGCTGTCCGTTTTTTTTTGTTTTTTTTTTTGTACGGCAAAGATCTACTCTGCCCCCCATATGTACGTATTCAGAATGCTCAACCCCTTTGGGGGTGGCGAAATGCTGTCCATGTTTATTTTTTTATTTTTTTTACGGCAAAGATCTACTTTGCCCCCCCACCCCCACCCAATACATACGTATTCAGAATGCTCAACCCCATGAGGGGTGGCGAAATGTTGTCCGTTTATTTGCACCCCTTCCTTGCTGTTATGTCGATGAAGGTTTTAGAGAGAGAGAGAGAGGGAGGGTGAGAGAGCGAGAGACGGAGAGAAAGAGAGAGAGAGCATCCGGGTTTTCAATTGATCTGACACCCCTTCCTTGTTGTCTGCTGCATTGTCGCCGCCATCATATTCAGGATGCCTAAAGCAGGTGCAGAGGCGATCAAGCGCCATTTTGAGAAACTTAGCGTGCATGGGAAAGGGAACTACAATTGGAAATGCCGGTACTGCGAACTGGTGTTCCCTGGGACTGCAAATTTGTGCAGAGCACTTCAAGTCCATGACAAAAGGGCCCAGGTGCAATATGAACAGGCTAGGCGGTAGGCTGTTAGCGGAGGAAGGAGAGAAGAGGGAGGTGGGCCGGCTCGAGGGAATTGCGCTGGTGCTTGGAAAGGTTGTGCAACCCGCACTGTCACAGGATTGCCCCTCTGACGTCGAGGGCACGGACGAACCGGAGGGCAAGGAGGAATGTAGCAGCCCCCAACCTCCTCAAAACAAGGTCAACACAGGTCTTTCCACCACCACTAACGTGCGGCATACTACGCTGGAAGAGGGCGGGGCGATAATCTCTAAGAACGAGGAAGCACAACGGTCTATAGACGACTGGTTGGTTGATGAAGGAGTCCCCTTCAACATGGTGCACAGCAAGTATTTCTTGCGCATGATAGAGAAGGTCCGCGACGTGGAGCGGTCCTTCATCCCCGCCAAATACGACACGCAGCGAACGAAGAGGTTGGACATGTCCCGGGCGCGGGTCGAGGAGGGGGTTTTGCGGCAGCAGAGAAGTTGGGCTCGAACCGGATGCATGCTCCAGCTTGACGGTTGGACTGACATAAGAGGCAGACCGCACTTGAATGTCATGGTCTCCTTTCCGACCGGTGTGCTTTTTTGGAAGTCGCATTGCATGTCAGGCAAGGAGAAGGGAGCAGCAGCGTACTTCGACATCTTATCTCAGTTGATTAACGAAGTTGGTGAGAAGAGTGTTGTTGGAGTGATAATGGACAACGCTGTTGTGTGCGCGAGAGCCGGCAGATTGGTGGAGGATACATTCCCGCTAACCTTCCATGTGCCATGCGTTGCGCACTGCCTCGACTTGATGTTGCACGACATTGGGAAGATAGAGTGGGTCGCTGAAATGGTGACGAAGGCGAACGACATGGTGAAGTTCGTCATGAACTACCAACGAGTCAGGGATGTTTACTACATCCATGCAAGTGGAAGGCAATTACTGCGACCCGCGGCAACGCGTTTCGCCACCAACTTTCACATGCTGGACCGCTTGAAGAAGCAGCAAAAAGCGTTGGTGGCTATGGTCACAGACGACATGTGGACAGCGACGTTGGACCCGACAGCGCTCGACCCTCCACGAGATGGAAGACATCATACTCGATGCAGCAGGTTTTTGGGATCTTGTGAACAAGGCAATCAATGTCGTTTACGACATTGTATTGCTGCTGAAACTGGTGGATGGCAACGGTCCGACCATCAGCAAGGTTTATGCGAAGATGGACAGGATAGTGGAGCGCTTGCGAGTTAGCAAGGACCTGACAGTGCATCAGCGGGACGAGATCGAGGTGATGGTCATGCGTAGATGGAATGCCATGACCACCCCCCTCCATTGTGCAACCCTGTTCCAGGATCCAGAGTACAGGTCGTCTGAGCCGCACATGGATGCAGAGATCCAAGATGGATTCTACACCTGGGTGTACACATGGCTCAAAGGGGCGTCACAGGAGGTGTGCGACCAGGTGGAGTACGAAGTCGATTGTTGGGTTCAGAACATTGGCGAGTTCAGCTCGCAGGTGGCTATGGATGCAGCCCGTAAGCAGAACCCTGCAGCATGGTGGAAGCGCTGGTGCAATGAGCTACAACACTTGCAGCCCCATGCCATTCGACTGTTGGGGCAAGGGTCGTCTGCTTCAGGCTGCGAAAGGAATTGGAGCCTTTTCGCAGCAATTCACACCAAAGAGCGCAATGGCCTGGCCCCAGAGACAATGCACAAATTGGTGTACAGCAAGTGGAACATGCGGCTGCTTGACATGCTGCAGCAAATGCCGGAGAGGGCCAAAGACCTTATTGAATGCGATGACCCACCGATAGAGGAGGAGCAAAAGGAGGCCAAAGAAAGAGTGAAGGTGGCTGAGCGGTGATTGAAGAGCCTTACCTCAGCTGGTGACAATGTTGTTCCACCTGTTGATAGCGGGGATGATGAAGATGGGGATGAAGTTGTTGTTCCTTGCCATGAAGAATGCAACCTGGAGGAGATTGAGGAGGGTCAACACGGGGACTGGCGTGGATTGACGAAGGCAGCCAACTTCCTAAATAAACGTTCCCAAACAGATGTGCGAAGGAAGGCACGCACCTTGGGAACAGAGGAGCACATGCGTGCTCACAAGAAGGGAGGCGGTGACACACTGCCTCATGGTGTTGCAACGACAGCACCACAAAACGAAATCGGGACATCGTTTGCACAGCCTGATCATCAACGCCCAAAAAAAAGTAGAGGCAGGCCAAGAAAAACCCCATTGACGGATCTCGACGGTTCAGATGCTGTGACGGCGGAGGGAGAGGACAACCCTACGCAGATAACTGACAAGAACGAAGTAGAGGGGGGCAATGATGAGGGTGTGCCAAGCAGCGACCAGGGCGTGGCAAGGAAGAGGCCGCGTGATGGTGAAGAGGAAGGCTCATCAGACTACCCATCAAGCGATGATGAGCGGCCATTGGCTGAAAAAAAGCGGAGGGGGTCATAGAGAGTCATTAGAGACTCGTGAGAGAGAGAGAGAGTGGACTGCCGTTTTTGGGGTGGTCATTCGTGAATCATGAATGACTCTGCAATCACTTAGGGGACAGCGGCGGTCTAGAAGCTGTCGGTTCTATTCAAACTTCAAAGTTCAATGTTAAGTTAATTCAAACTCCAAAGTTCAATTTGTTGTGTGTGCAATGTGCACTGTGCCCTGTGCAGTCTGCACAGTTCAAGTTGTGCATCTTTGAATCTGTGTGCAGGTGTGCACTGTGCACGCTGTGCGGCTGCAGTGACAACTCACTGCGCAATGTTCAGTCAGGAAATGCACCTTCTGTGTTTTGAGCATGTATACTGCTTTTTTTTTTTTTTTTTTTTCAAAAAATATACTGCATCCGGACAGACATCCGGACAATTGATCTGGACCAGTCCAGATAAACCGAAATATTCCGGGCTTCCGAAATTCCGGGGGACCTCGGGATGTCCAGGGTCCGGATCCGGTCCGATGTCCGGTCCGGCGTAGCTATGGTGTACTCGGACCACTCTACCCTGAAGTGGATAAAAACACAGTCGAGGCTCTCTGATAAACTGGTTCGATGGTCTGCATTCATTGATACTTTTGATTTTGAGTTAAAAACAATCAAAGGAAAGTCTAATGTGGTTGCAGATGCATTGTCCAGACGGAGTGACTTCTTTGGTGCAATTGTCTCTTACTTGGATGTTGGGAACGACCTGAAAAACCAGATTCGCCAAGGATATGCTACCGATCCTATCCGGAAACCAATCATGGATATCCTTGAATGGGATTCATCCCAACTACCCAACTATAGAATGACTGCTGGATTGTTGTTCTTGATTGACCAAACCGAACAAAGATTGTGTATTCCTCACAAGAAAGAAATAAAGAGTGTATTGATCGGGGAATGTCACGATGTTGAGGGTCACTTTGGTTTCAAGAAAACATAAGCTGAAGTCAGAGAACGTTTCGAATGGAAGGGACTTAAAGAAGATGTACTAACATATGTTCGTACTTGTTTAGTGTGTCAGAGAAACAAGCCGTCGCTCGAGAATCCCCTTGGACTTCTCAAGCCATTACCTATACCAAGCGAACCAGGTGAGTCTATCTCAATTGACTTCATGAGTCTGGTTAAGAGTTGCAATGGTAACAGTCAAGTGACGGTAATTGTGGATCGTTTCTCTAAATACGCTATGTTTGTTCCCTTACCAGCAGAAGCGCGTACTGAACTTGTCATTCAGAAATTTCAGTTGCGATGGGTCACTGATTATGGATTCCCTAAAACCATTGTATCTGATCGAGATGTCAGGTTCACCAGTCTGCCATGGCAAAAGCTGATGGAAGTTTGTGGCACACGGCTGACCATGTCGTCAGGGAGACATCCCGAAACGAATGGCCAGACTGAACAAATGAACCGTCTGTGCCAACAACTTTTGCGTATGTAAATTAGACCCGATCAGATTGATTGGGATGAGAACTTATCCAATTGTGAGTGCATATAACAATAGTGTTCATACTTCCACGGGAAGAACCCCGAATGCACTTCACAAAGGGTGGAAGCCTAAACGTCCCATTGATGTACTGAACCGGGACCAGTTTCTTAGGTTACCCCCAGAGACCCGAGAATATGCAATCTTGTTTCAGGAAGACATTCAGAAAGTTAAAGATAATCTAAGGAAAGCTCAACTACGAATGATTGAACAAGCCAACAAGCATCGTCGACCGTCTACATTCAAAGAAGGTGATCTGGTTTGGGTAAAATCTAACGATTTTTCATTAGGAGAAGATGTCTCCCAGAAATTGCTACCTGTCTATTTTGGACCCTGGGAAGTTCTCAAGGTAATTGGAGATGCAGAGGGACCGTCTTATCGAATTGATATTCCCCCTCATCTCAAAACATACCCTGTCTTTCATGCCTCCAAATTGTTGCCTTTCGTAGAAGGAAATGAGTTTCCTCACAGACCCTCTATGATTCCACCAGATATGGATGGCGGATACGAGGTTGACCAAATCATAAAGCATGGCTACTTCTCTACGGGAGGGCGTGGACGACCTCAGAAGCTGTTCAAGGTACGTTTTAAAACTCAAGCACCATCTGAGGACAGATGGTTTAGTAAACGAGAACTACTTGCGACCGCTCCTCATATTGTCGCTGCTTATGAACGAGGGTTAAAGTCTTAAATATTTCTGCTGTGGAACTCGAAAATGGGCCGGCAGGAATGTAATAACCCTGTTCAGAAGAAGCCTGGGGCCCAGAACTCAGCCCCAGGCCACGGCGACCTGAGAAGGTCTACGTTGGGCTGTGTGACCAGGACACGCCCAGGCCCGAGTCTATCGAGTGTGGCTGTGTGACCGAACGCCGCACACAGGAAATTCAAGAGTCAAAGTCAACTATAGAGTCAAAGATACCGCACCCAGGCCTTGGGTTGGATACACTCACTTGTTGTGCGCAGGTACCCAGACAGCATCCAGGCCGGAGGGAATTCGGTTTCAGGCTGATCTGAGCCCTCGTTCACATTGAGATCTGGACGGCCGAGGGATACACAAGGGATACAGCATCCGGGGTCCAGACCCCGCGTCAACACTACATAAGAGTTGACTTCCTGGCATTGACATTCATTCTGTCTTGCGTTGAGGCTGACTTCACGCGTTGACTTCAACGCTGGCTGGCTCGACGCTGTGACGCTGGCATTGTGATTGGTGAGGCGCTGCTGGTCTGGCATGGTGGCCGGCTTGCTCCTGTCTTCATGGCACGCTGATGTGGCAGCTGCGGTGCGCTATCGCTGACGTGGCTGCTGCCACATGTATCATGCTGACGTGGCTGCTGCCCACGTGTTCTGTGACTGGGACTACATATCCGACATTGCTGTTCTGATTCGTCGTCATTTCAGGAGGAGATCAGGACTGTGGAGAGTTCGAGAATATGTACCTGTTGCTCTTCATGTCGACATTGCTCCAGACGCTGATGTGGAACTGATTAGACCTGCCACGTAGCACATTGAGGATACTCGGATAATTGTTGAGGTGGCAGTGGAGGAAGAAGCCCGAAGCAGGAGTGGGCAATATACTTCCTCTCCTTTGTCTCTTCTCCCTCCTCTCTCTTCGTCTGTGAATGATATCTCACCTCATTCTGTCTGGTTACGATTTTGGACTATTAATTATCATCAGCCGATGGACATTTATCTGGACTTGCATTGTTGACAACTGTCTCACGATCTGGGTTCATTACATGTTCATCTTGTTACAATAAAATGACATTGATCCATCCCATGAAAAACAGAGTCGTCCTTCGGGCCATCCGCTAAAAGAGAAGATTAGCATGGCCTCTGCCCAAGAATGGCATGCATAAAAAGAGAAAAACAGAGTGAAGAAGACTCACAAACTGATCGTTACTAAATAATGAGTATATTTGAGTATATTACAACGTAGGAAAGGAAGAAGCAAAAAGGCTCCCACACGGCGGCGCATCTTTGTTTTGGAAACTNAGGCTCCCACACGGCGGCGCATCTTTGTTTTGGAAACTATAGCATAAAAAGTTGTCAAGCAGGTCGCGTATCATATTAAGGACTTGAAGCGGCACGTGTTGCCATCACCAGGAAATTTCGGAGAATTGGTAAAATATGGGTGAGTTTTGTCAGATATTCCTAGGCGACCACGTTCGATGACGTGGCAACCTCGTTCAATGACGTGGCAAAGGGGAGATGCGAGGGACTCTCACACTACATTAGGAATATACATACTGTTTCGTGATCACTCAAGGCCATTCACACGATGGTGTTATAGCTACGACAACACGCAGAATCGCGCCGATTGAATACACTGCATACGGGTGAAAGACGTGGTCTTTTCTTAAGAGAAAAGGCCTAGGAGGTGGCTGAGAACGGACCGTTACCGTGAGGAACCTGACGCTCGCATTACCGGGGCGAGGTCCCACCAGCAAAGAGGATTGGATTAAGCTCCAGAATTCGGACGTGTTTCAAGAGAAGATGCAGAAAAGCAAAGCAGTTCAATCCCGATTTTCTGCACCTTTCAACAAACACGTCCAGATTCAAGCGTTCAATCCAATCTCTGTCCGTGCTAGTGGGGACCTCACCCCCGAAGCTAGCAACGATCCCGATCATGACGGCGATGTGAACATGGAGGGGGTAGACGATGAAATAAAACCCGCAACGAGGGCCGAGCAAGGTGACTGAGCTGTGTAATGTGAGGATGGCATCGCAGAGGGGAAAGAGATCGTGGAACCGGCAGACAATCACGGTGTCACTACCGAGACAAGGAAGAAGACGAGGGGCTGCAAACGATTCTGAACGAGAAGCTGACAATTACCACGAAAAGAGCGGAAGCGGCTGCTCCGACAACTCGACCGACGCACAAGAGACAGAGAGATAACGTCAACAATAACCTGAATAGACGACGCCAGTAGAAGTAAAAAGAGCGTGGGGCATTTATAGGCTAAGCGAAAGGCCATACAATCAATGAAGGGATACGCAAGGCATCCACGAAGCCGCAAAACCGTGCCAGATGCACTGAAGCACAGGTGGAGAAAACAGCCCGAAACAGCGCGCAGTGAGAGTGGTAGTTT